CCCCAAAACCCCAAAACCCCGTGCCTCTTAAAATGCATTCAGTTAAGTTGATATTATAATTTTAAATTCAAATTTAGTTAATTTAAGCTCTTTAATAAATGAGCGATCCAAGTGCTAAAATTCAGAGCAACAATCAAGTGAGAGTTAACTCTAGCAACTACAATGCGAAAACTAATATCCTCTAGAATAGGACAGCGTCATCCATACCTTAATCATTTGAATTGGGCGATGATGTTCTGATTGAAGATAAGTTTTTAAAACCAATGAACAATTTCAATGGTGGAGCTGGTGATAAGCTCTTATCAAAATGGACTATTTACTTTCCACATGAGAAGCAAAAATCTTTTGACGTAAAATTACTTTGCATTTAATTAATTTCTAGCCTAATGAATTTAAGCATCTTGCTATTCAAGTATTTTATGAAACTTTTTGCCAGACTTAGTAATAGAGCTTACTAGAATGGGTATACTTTATTAGATAAACTGAAATTTTGCTATAGGATAAAAAAGATGATAACTTTGACTCAATAGTGGTTCACATAAACTTTGCAGCCCTTTATCAGATAGGAAGTAGTAATCTCAAATAGTTCTTAGATTTTTTGAATGACCATCCCACTGATATGATTAATTGCATGGCTCTTGCTCTTGATAATGTGAGACAGAATAAGCTTAAAAATGGCAACGACAACAGACAAGTTATTGTAATTAGTATTCCTTATCATATATTGATAGGTCCGATTCTCCAATTTCAATCACATATATTCCTTGTCATTAATCAAGTCTCACTTGATTAACAAGTTTATTTGTTTAAGAGGGACAGTGCTAAGAGTAAGCTCTATCAAAGTTCTAGTTGAATCAATTCAGTTTGTTTGCTACGACTGCAAAGCTAAGATTACCATTCATTTTATTGATGGAAAAGTAACTTTCACCTTATTAAATAATTTTAGTGGGATACTCCAAATAGATGTAGTAATATAGATTGCAGGGGCAAAACATTTTTACCAGAGAAACATACAGCAAAGACCTCTTTCTATTAAAGAATAAGAATATAAGAAATCGAAAACGATTTAAAGGATATAAACGCTGGTAAATTGCCTAAGACTATTGATTGTGAGATCAAAGATGATTTAATTGACGCCTGCATAAGTGGAGACATCGTTACTATTTGTGGCATAATGAAAACTGAACTTTAAAGTGATATGAAGGGATTTGGTGCTTAAAAGGCAAATAAGAATAAAGCCTTACATGCATCCTACATTGATGTAAATTCAATTAAGAATTCGAATACAGAGTACTTTTTGCAAACCTCAACATAATCCTCGTATCAAGGAGGTTAAATCTAGGATGATAAAGTTAACATGGCTGAACTTAGCGAGATCCATAGAATTTCAGAGAGGAGAGATGTATTTCAATTGCTAATTAAATCTATATGTCCGTCTATATTCGGTCACGAACTTGTAAAAACTGGATTGCTTCTTTCTTTGTTTGGTGGAACAGATTATAGATTGAAATTAAAGGGACATTATTTGGAGATGCTGCTTGACAAAAACTCTAATCAGCAAGAAGATGATGAGGATGAATAGTAATCAACACACAACATCAGACCTGATATTCATCTACTGATTGTTGGAGATCCTGGATTAGGAAAGTCTTAAATGCTGAAGCATATCATCAACGTTGCTCCAAGAGGTGTGTATGTTTGTGGAAATTCAACAACAAATGCTGGTCTTACTGCGACAATCGTCAGAGATCCTATGACTAATGAATAAAATCTTGAAGCAGGAGCCTTAGTTTTAAGCGATCTTGGAGTATGTTGTATAGATGAGTTTGATAAGATGACAAGTGACTAGAACACACTCCTTGAAGCCATGGAACAATAAACAATATCCATCGCCAAAGGTGGTATTCTAGGATCTTTATCTGCAAGATGCAGTATAATAGCTTGTGCAAACCCAGTGACTGGTCATTATAAGTAAGTTCTTGCATTTAACTTTATTTAATAGTCGCTCAAGATCTATTCTAGAGAATATCAAAGTTTCTAATGCCATATTATCAAGGTTCGATTTAGTCTTTTTACTTTTGGACGATCCAGATGTGCAGAGAGATAAAAAACTTAGTGAGCATGTAATGAAGCTCCATTCAAGAAATAGAAAAAGAAAGCTGGAGTTTATAAATCATATAAACGGAGCTCAAAATCATCCTTATTCAGTATCTTTGAATGATGATTCCTCATCAATTACTGGGAATTAAGCTAAAAGATTAAAGTAGAATTTTTATTCTCAAAATGTAGAAGTTAAAAATAATGGAGATACCCTCAATGGCATCAAAGAGCAAGATTTTGTGAATTATACTTCAATGCTTCAGAAGATTAAGCATTTGTCAGATAGAATACCTGAAAGCGAAATCATTCCACCTTAGATTATGAAGAAGTATATTTCATATGCCAAGCATACTGTGTTTCCAAAATTATCGATTGAAGCTTGCGAAGTGATCAAGGACTTTTATTTGACTCTAAGAGAAGAGGCTACACATAATTAAAATACTTTGCCTATCACTTCCAGATAGCTAGACTCTCTAATTAGACTTACTTAGGCAAGAGCTAAACTAGAATTTAGAAATATTGCAACCAGAGATGATGCTATGGATATAGTCAGATTAGTTTAAGAATCCTTGTTTGAGTCATGCTCAATTGATATGGGAAAATTTGGAGGTTCTAATTCAAGTCAGTATTCTGGATTGACAGGATAAGGCAGAAAAGGAGCAAACCAAGTAGACTTAAACAATATTGCTATGCTATCAATTCCTAAGCAGACAAAGTTTTACCTTGATAGATTAAGGTAAGAAGCTGAGACAAGCGGTAACAAAATCTTTGATTTCCAAGGTCTGATTAGAATTGGGAAAGAGATGAATTTGTAAGTAGGCGATTTCAAGTTATTTATTGAAAAGCTAAACATGCAAAATGCTCTTATCATGAAACCAGGAAAATAATGGGAGCTAATGATGTGAAATAAGGAAAGGGTGATAATTATTATTATAGGGTCTTTGAAATACTAATTATAATAACTTTAATCTTAATTTTATAATTATCAAAATTAATCAACAACTCAACGAAAGGGGTTTTGGGGTTTTGGGGTTTTGGGG